TGTAGCTCTAATCTCTAGCAGGCTCTAAAACATTGTAATATGCAACAGTTGGTTGTAAACCAACTAAGGATGTGTATTGGTACAGTATTATTTCTTAGGATTTCACTTGAAGTGGTTCATCCACAAAACAAAGGATTGAGGGCACTATCAGAACTTCTCAAGTGATGTTAAAGCCTTCATAGTGACACCCTTAAGTTCCAGTATAGGAAAGTGAAGACAAATTATGGCTTTCAGAAAGTTAACTTTGTCCAAGAGATCACACCTATAGTCTTGCTTAAATCCCAAGTACAGAGGAAGGAGAATTTCCCCCTGATTGAACTGTAATGCTCAGGGATAGCCAAGCCAGCCGTGTCAATGATGTTGCAACGTCTGCTCCCACCTTCCTTCCAAAAAGGAGGGAAGCAGCTCTGTCTGGCCACAAGATTTGTCTACCAGTCATCTTGAGCAGACTGAACATGGTTTTTTTTTTAAATATAGAAAGGCTGATGCTGCGTGGAAGCTTAAGCAACACATGAACTAGGTTTACAGACACTATAGATGAGAAAGCAGATCCCAACTTCTCATGCACTGCTGTCTTGTGGAATTCCCAAATTATGGGAATTATGGACTTCACACAGCAACTTCCATCTGGTGCAGGAAGATAGAAGCCAGTTTGAGATACTGCCCTTCCTAGTCAGGCACAAACACTGTTTCTGCACCACATCCAGTTAGTTTTCTTCTCCCTCACCAAATTAAGGCAGTAATCTTGGAAGCAGTCAAGCCTAGCAAGTCAGAGCCAAGTACAGCTACTCCTGTCCTCTCCCCAGCCATGAGTCAAGATTCAGCCAAAATACGGTATTAAGATACCTGTTTTAAAGTCATTTGCTGTTCCTGGAACAGGTTCACCAATAAACAGGGTACTGGACTGTTCAATTCAAGGTCTTTAAATGTTACTCCCTCATCTCCACCTAACCAACAGGCATCCGCACTCTGAAAAGGAAGCTCAGGCCATGCAAGAACACTGTTTCTTGAGGTTGTCAACATTGCTTCCTCTGCCCAGTCATAACCTGCAAGCCCTCCATCATTAAAACACTGGAATCCATTAGAACAGACCTATTAATGTCATTCGGCAAACTTATATATCCCTGCCTATTCCCTGTGACCCATCTTTTCAGGGAAGGGGCTCTTCTGAACAGCTGAAACCATGCAGTACCCCAGACTCTGTACTCCTGGCAGGCACCTAAAAATGTGGTTGGGTGAAGAGGACATCTGTCATTACCATAAGACCTAGATGCGCAACAGCTCACGTGGTAGTGAGCCCAGGAGCAGAGCTAGCCATGGTATTCACATTTCAAAGGCTAATGAATACTTTACGTTTTCAGTTAGTGTGACTTCTTCATCTACTGTCTACCTCCTAATGATAACTAGGACAACTTGCTCCCGCATCTCAGTCTTCCTCACCCCCAACTACAAGTGCCAGGTATCTTTACTATGCCTTTGGGCAAGAGTATCCTTGAGTTAAGGATGAATGCAGAGGAGCAGCAGTCCCCACAGCCCAAGCTAGTAACATTTATTCACAGCTTCCTCTTGACAACTATATGAAAGCAATGTTTCTGTGATGCTACCAGAGAGAAGTGGTTACATGAGCTTCTGCCACAGCTTTTCACTTGAAAGATGGGAAGACAGCTCAGAGACAAGGGCACGAGTAGGAGGAACAAAGTGCTCTTGCACTTACCACCAGACATTAAGTAGTCCCTCAAAATGGGCATCCTGAAGTTCCCAGCCAGGGTAGCAAGGTATGGCCGGATCCCAGGGAATTTCTGGCTGACACCCGTGGCCTCTGTGCTGAAGTTGCAAAAGGCACCTAAGCCCATGATGCCATGTGGATGGTACCCAAAAATGTAATTCCTGGTGGTCAGCAGATTGTGGGTTTTAACCAGCTAGGAAAGAAAAGAGTGAGCTCACATAAAGACAGACATTTTCAGGTAATAAGAAAAAAAAATGGAGAAAAAAAGCCAAAGTCCCCAGCTTTTGTCTCTTCCCACCAGGGAGAACAGCCTAAGAGCTGGGGTATGGGATATCCTGGATTTCAGAGGCTGTGGTAAGAGCAGCCACTCAGACTTCAGTTCCCCAAGCAGAGGGAGCAGAATAAACAGGCTGATTTTGGATACAAGATGACTGCCAGCCAAGCAGGAATAGGGTTTGGGTTGCAGTAGCCTGCGGCCTTTGTTCCTCTACTCCTGCCAAAGGTATTCTTGCAAGCCTCTTGCCCAAACCAACCAAGTTCTTCATGGCCCTGTAGCTACAGCTACGCCTCCTTCCAGGCCGTCTCTTAGCACATTAGTGGCTCACATCCCAGTATGAGGGGGAAAAAGAATAAAAATCAGTGTCCCATAACAGAAGCAAGTTTGCTTAATACCTGAAAAAAGACCCAACCATTTAATAAGCCTGCTGGCCACCCTCCAAGAGGGAAAGTGTGCAGAAGGGTGGCTTACCACTAGAAACTATCCCTCCTTTCAAGAGGTTTTGCTCTGGCCTACACGCCAAAGGGCTGACAAGACACCTCAAGCCATCCACAGCAGTGCTCCGATTTCTGCAGGACATGCTTGTGATCGTATTGGTTTGGGGTTGTGCAATATTCCTACCCATTTACTCATCTGTTTGCACAGCATGGACACTCCAAAGCTGTCTTAGCCATGCACAGCATAACCCATGGACTGGTGCCACTACTGCCAGAGGCTTTTTTTTGATGCTATCAGTAACAGCAGCATCCCATGCATCAGAACATCTTCCTCTGGTAGTACACAAGCGGTCTGAGTAAGCATACAACATGACTGCTGCATCACCTTACAGAAGCAGGGATCAAATTTATTTTTTTTTTTTAGGCTGCAGTCGAGTTTTTGCTGACTGCAACACCCCCAGCAGCCCTCAGACTGGGGCAGGACCTACGAGTCCCAGCTACACCTTCAGCATGAGGTGCTAAACAACTGCACCCCATCCCTCAAATTGTGTATGCAAAGGTCACTCTGCGTCAGCTCCTATAGGAAAAAGCACAGCTGGTAGTACACAAGCGGTCTGAGTAAGCATACAACATGACTGCTGCATCACCTTACAGAAGCAGGGATCAAATTTATTTTTTTTTTTTAGGCTGCAGTCGAGTTTTTGCTGACTGCAACACCCCAGCAGCCCTCAGACTGGGGCAGGACCTACGAGTCCCAGCTACACCTTCAGCATGAGGTGCTAAACAACTGCACCCCATCCCTCAAATTGTGTATGCAAAGGTCACTCTGCGTCAGCTCCTATAGGAAAAAGCACAGATTTCCAAGACGTCACACCAGCATTACATACCCTGCTGTCTTGGCCAAGAAGTGCTTTGGCAGTGAGCAAGACCGTTTTGTTGAATCATGCTACAGGGAGCTGAAGTGCCATTGCGACACACTGAAGCAGCATGCCCAGAAACTTGATTCTCTCCTCCCCACGTTCCCACCGCCGTCCCTAGATGAGGCTACAGCACTTGTGCTATTTGAGACAGCAGCTGCGACGCAGGCATGACACAGCAGCGGGTTAAGCAAGTTGACCACCCCTCCCCACACTTTCCACTAGCTTTGAGGTCACGTAGGACTCCAGGAAGCACGTGCAGATGCTCGTGGTTGCAGCAACTCTGTAGAGCCCCATGGCCTGCATCACACCAAGTCATCCTTTCTCCCCTTCTTGCCCAATTAGTAGATGGTTTTGCTTTCACTCCCCAGGGTGGGAGGGCTGTCCCTCGACCAGTCAGGACAAACTGGGCTCCCAGACTACAGACTGGAAACCACTATTTGGAAAAACTGGGGTAAGCAACCCCTCCATCTGTCAGCTCTTGCTTAGTTGTAGGAGAGACCCAAGGCCTGGTGGCTGCAGACACACATGGCTTGGTTGGACCAGTGGCAGACAGTCCTCCTTAGAGCTCTGGTCAGAGCAGGGTGGTCATTTCCAGGCTCCATGCCCCCCATCCTTCACCTTCACCAAGCACAGCTGCTTTAAAAGGAAGCTGGCTGAAACAGAGGGTTTGTCCTTGCTGCTCTGGAGCACGAGACATTTGTGAGCCGAGCTTGGCAGAGCCACGCATCTGCTCTCATATGGAAGACATGCTGTTCTGCTGCCAGCCATGGCAAGCACCCTGCTCCAGCCCCGCCACCATGTGCAAGGACACCCAGTTCCCAGTGGAGCCCATTGCTTGCATACCTTGTACGAGCCCCAGCCAAGCTGCAGCCTTATCGCTCTGCGTTTGCTTTCCAAGACCTCCTGTTACGGAGGCATTGGGTTGGTGATATCCACCGCTTGCACAAGTAGTGCAGGAGTAAGACAAGGGGTACGCAGGGAACCAACTCGCCTGCACACCCCACCCGTGGCAAGGCAGAAGGGGAATATCTGAGCAGCACTGGTGACTCAATGAGAGCCAAACACTCACAACAGGGATTTACAGGTCTGAGAGTCAGCCTGGCATTCATATATATGTGGTTTTCCCCAGTTTGTCTCATGCAGGCTGCCACTGCCCTCCACAGGTTGTCCCACAACAGATGAGTTCACAGAAGGTGAGCGCATCATCTTCCACTCAAGTCAAGCCAGGGCAACCAAAGACTGCCAGGCATCAGATCGGTTTGTGCACTTATCTGCAAGTGGTGCAGGTCTTCAATCTGCTAAGGCATAAATTCAGCCCAAGGTCTGAACTGCCAACACCAAAGGCAGAGCCTTCACGTCTCCCTAAATTTAATCTAGAAGCAGGTACTTTTGAAGTGCTGTAACGCTTATTTCTAGTCTCAAGCCAGACTGAAGCTTTCCTTAGGAGGCTGATCACCCACTACTACTTTTCTTGCGCCTTTCCCCTTGACAAGCAAACACGGGGCTGCCTTATCAGGTTGGCCTAAGGAATTGCTGCAGCTGTCATTTGACAACGCTTTTGCAACTCTGTTCTAAGCCTCCAACAGGTTTTTCCTTTTGCCTTCAAGGTCTTCTCCAGTCCCACACAGCCCTCAGCTCCTTGAAGCCTCAGTGCTCCCCTGATGAGACAGAGACAGCCTGTCCTTGCTGCATCCCAGCGGACGATTAGAGCGCTGGGACTGAAGCTGGACCTTCATCCCACTGCACTAACACGCCTGCTCCCCGCTGCTGTCTGAGACCAAACCTGTTTCAGTGGGTGCAAAGGTCCCTCCACCTGCTCTAGTAATAACAGATTTCTTTAAACAGATCTAAGCCTGCCTACAGGAGCAATAAAGCAGTGCAATTATGGTAAAAAACTAGTGTTAATATTTGAGTGCCAGATACGCCCAAAGAGCAGTATTGCCAATTTAATATGTAAGAACAGAATGAGTAAGTAGCATATTGAAGTGCAGAGAAAGGTGACTGCAGAGACACTGCTGCTCAGCACCAGAAGCCAGCAAAGAGCAGGATGAAAGTGAGTGGTCTAGGTGGGTGCTCAGCCCACCTGCAAGCTGAGCAGCACAGCGACCACAGAAGCATGCAGAAAGCAGAAAATTAGAGCTCATCCTGCAGAATGCAAGCAGCAGTAGTGAACATGTAAGCTTACAAAACAGCCGAACAAGTGCAATTAGCTGCATCACACCTGGCAGCACTATGGAATAAATTATCTCACCTTCCCAGCAATGCAGGCCAGAACCTGAAGACCCCTCCAGGCTCTCAGTGTTACCACTACACTACATCACACATAGGAAGAAAAGCCTCCATTTCCATTCTGTAAGTCATCTATAACAACAACTAAGGAGAGGCTCTGCCAGGAAGCCAGCCAAGCCTCAGAGTGCAAGACAAACGCTGCAAAAAAAATAAAGTCACTGTCTTACAACGGTCCCTGCTCTGGCATGCTGCGACTCTCCTGTCTCGGCAGGAGGCTGAGAAGGTCTCACTGCACACATCTGAAAGGCTCACTGCTTGACAAAGGCGAGCCAAAGGTCTGCAGTCCTTGCCATCTGAAGTGCTGTTGCCTATGGAGATAAGCAGCAGCTGCGCTCACATGCTCAGGTGATGGCTCCTTTACCTAAACAAGACCTTTAGATTGTGGCACTCCCAGCATGACATCCTCAGATCAGCAGGATGATCTCTGCAGCAGCAGGGTCGAGTCCAGACAGGCACACAGCACCATGCTCACACCTGCAAGGGCTTGGGCTTTACCTGGGAGCTCAGCACCAGGATTTAGCTCACTTCCTCAGCTGCCTCATGCACCACTTAGCTTAAAGCACTACTTGCAAGGCCAGCCACTAAGCAGCAGACAAACTTAAGCTTCTAGTGCCCTAAAATAGCTTATTACTGTCAGAGCAGCTGCATGAAGCCCCAGTGAATGTGGACAATGTCTACTCATGCTGAAGAATTGAGCCAGATCCAAGCTGGTTCCCAAATCCACCTGGTCTTACAAAATGTGACCTGGTATCCCCAGATACAGGTCCAATAGTCCTCTGGTGCCTCAGGATGGGAGGTACTGCTGACTCAAGTGGAGAACCAGACGAATCACCATAAATATCAGAGCAGAGCCTGCTTCTCATGCAGCTAATCTGATAAAGCAAGCCTGATGCCAGCAGGCAGAGCTGTGAAGGGATGCAGCAGACCTAGCCACAAGTGCTAGCATACAGCTTTGTCAGATGGCAATACTGGTGGCATTTCAGTCTGGCCAGATCCAGCCTGCATCCTTAAGATTGAGCTCACACCAGCCAGGTCCAAGGAAACCCTGGCCTTCAGATCTGCAGCCACTGAGGACATTACATTAAGAAGCCTCCCCTGCCAAGTTTTTGGTGCTACAGCTGTCACCCACTGGGAGTCCTGGGGAGGTGGCCTTTGAGTTTTGGGGAAAGAAAACCTGCAAAACTGCTTCCTATTTATTTCCTGGAATAGGAGTAAAATCTGAGCTCATATCCTAATGCAGGTGGTACCTGTGCTGATATGGATGCAGCTAGCACAGCCCTATGTGCAGAGCTTGCAGAAGCTGAGTTTAGCATTACAAGCACCACTGGTGAGATTGTCACTGGTGGGATCTGCCCATGCAGTGCTCAGTGGACACATGGCACGGGGTGAGGTGCAGCAGATGACTACCCCAACAAACCATCAGCCAGGGAGACAAACCAAGTGCTGCTAAGCCATTACACAGACAGCTCAGGATCCAGTCAAGGTGAATTTTGCAGACAGACGATTTAAACAAGTGGCCATCTCTAGACCAGTCTCCCTCTTGACTGAAGACATGTAAACAGTTTATCCAAGGAGTTCCCATGCTCTTACAAGTTCAAGCCGAAGCTGTTCTGGTGGTTGGTACCACCCCTTACAAGAGATATATTCATGCCCATAATTGCAGGCAACCACCTCTAGCACCTCACAGCCCCATGATCCCTGTAGCAGGTTTTAACAAACACACAGCCAGCTGGCTGTTCCCCCATAGCAGGTGCAGGAGTTATCCCACAGCTGTCAACTCTCATGTACTGCCCTTTGCATGCCATTTACCAGCGGGCTCTGTAAGCCTTGCACAACTCCACTGCCTTAGTGACAAAGGAATTGCAGCCGTAAGGGGTTCTCACAAACGGACTGCAGGAACTAGCAAGTATTTACCTAGAACAGCAGAGAAGTTCAGTTTATCTACCCAATCTCACCTCTAAACCTACTTGAACAACCCATCTGTTTGACAAGCTTCTAATATCTACAGTGCCTCTGACCCGCATGGCTGGTGTGGAGCATGTTTCCATGAAGACAGGAGATGTCAAAGGAGAGGCGAAACAAGGGGACCAGCAATGGCTTGACTCAAGTCCCCAGGAGAAACTAGCCCATTTTAGCCTTCAGCAATATTAAAAAGGCAGGGTTTGTTGCAGTACTGAGGACTTGGTACTAGAGGACGACCCTTTAACACTAGAGCATGCTCTGTTCTCCATTAGCTACAAGACCCGGGATGACCAGCCACTTGCAGCCTGTGCAGTTGTACTGTATTTTTCCATGCACACCTACATTTGCCAAGAATTACCTGTTAATAGCAGAAAGAATGTGGCAAGAGTGTTCACCAGCAGCACATTCAGGCACCCTGAGAGTTCAAGTGACTTTGCAAAGGAGGAATCCAGTCTACGCCACTTTGGCTTCCTACTGGAATTGGATTCCCTACTGCCTTCTAAGGCTGGACTATCTTAGGGCAGGGTGGTTCATCCAAAGCCGTGGCAAGGTCCCTCCCTTTTGCTCAAGCTGAATAAAAACTGCCAACAGCCTTACATAATAGTCCTTTCAGCTGTGCGTCCTTCCAAAGAGGATCGAGTTCCCTCCTAGCTGAATTTGGCCCCTGCTCCCTTCCAAGTCCTTCAAGCTAATTCTGCAGTCCCCAGAGCAGACTGGCAGCCCTGTCCTCTGTCTGCAACACGTCTGAACTAGCAGGGAAAATACAAGCAGAAGGTGAGCAAGTTACACTTGAACTAGAGCTATTCCCACTGCGGGAAACCTCCCTTCGCCAAAGCAGCTAGACTTCAGAGCCAATTTCACTGCTCCCTGTGAAGTAGGTAGGGCTTCTGGTGCACAGGGTTCCCAGCTATTCTTACCCAATACACTGCTGCCCTAGGGTGTAGCTGGAAAACAGACCAAAACTGAGCTAGATTTACAAGAGGGGAACAGAGGTAAGGTGAGGCACAACACAGGACTGCTGCAGCACAGAAGAGAAGTTGGAGAGATGAACAGGGAGCCATACTGCTACAGGGCAGATTGCCTCAAGAAGTCTGGTGATAAAGACCATCAGAAGCAGCAGCTTCTACAAATCATGATACCATCACTGGTGATGCATTTCAGATTTCATAACCACAGCTGCTCCAAGCAGTAGTATGGCAATGGTAAGTAAGCCATCTCCTGCTTACAATTCAGTGTCATGGATAGACTAGTGTAGGTACAACATCATCTCCACAGGGGTTATTGCAAGTCAGTCTAAAACAGTTAAGTCCCAATGCATAAAGTTAAACTGTTACTTACTCTTATTGGAAAATAATCCCTGAAGTACCTCCATATAGCCCAGTTCCTCACCCATTGGGATCTTCGTCCACCTGAAGAGAAAAAAAAAAATCATGTTTTTAAAGCTCTTTCCACATGGATGCCCACCAAGAAGCCTAAAGGACCCCAGATAGTTTGCTGTCTCACTAGAGAAATCAACAATTTCATTCCTCTAAGTGGGACACCTGCATCTTTCACTAAAATCAAGTGAAACCACCCATGCTCAGGACTTCAGGGTACTTCAAGCTAATTAAGGCCTGACTACAAATTCAGGGTAGGATCCGACTTGGTAATCTGTTGGAGTTGGGCAATGGATAAGTCAAGCTAGAAACAGCTCAGTGTTAGCCACAGATTCATTCTTTGGGAAAGGCCAAGATCCTGAATGATTTCAGTGGTCTTGAAGCAATGGAGAATTGTGCTAATCTGGCTATGAAAGGAGTTGCCACCAAAGCTTGTTGCCATTGCTATACTGGGTTCTCAGAGCTGGTTTCTACACCGTGTTCCCTGAAATAAAGTTTCCTGCTTTATTTGCAGCAACACTGACTCCATAGGGGAGCCACATCTTAAGTCACACCATAATCTGAACCAAGAGCTGGAGAGGCCAGCAAGATCTTAAATCTTTATGTAGACCTTTCTGACCTACAGGAAGAACCTAAGCCTTATGTATGTTGCTAAAAGCCAGAAATGGCATGATATTAGTCAAAGTTATCTTGTATTACCCTCAGCATCAATAAAACCTGCAGTCACTTCTTATGTCAAGGGCTAACCTTTGCATGCTTCACTGAATAAGGCTTTTGGTGAGCGATTCAGCCAAGTCCCACTAAGAAGGGAAGTCACCCATTATAAGGAAGTGCTTCTTTGTCCAAATATGAGGACAGGGACATTTAAACAGCAAGGATCCATTCTGCAATATTTACCTTTCTTTGGTGTATTCCAGTCAAATACCAGCCAGGCTAAATATAGAGCAGCAATCGCCCAGCAATCCGTGCACAGTATGTACATGAGGATTAAAGTGCAAGCAATACCTGGAGAGGCCCAAGAAAGAGAAGAAAACAGGGTTGCATCAGGTTTTGGTCTGCATTTACACTTGCATTAAGAGCCCCTTGCCTTTTGACCCTTCTATACCGAAGCCTTAGTCTCAATCTGATGTCATTAATCCTCAATCAAATCGGATTTAGCTAAAAACCCCTTATGTAGGACTGAGGCAGCCTCCTCTAAAGCTACCTGCTTTGAAGTACTTCAACCTCCCCTTCGTGGTTTCTCCAGGTCTCTCTTCTATAATATCTCCAGGTAGGGCCGATGCTTCACCAGGCAAGAGCAAGACTTCATGAGCATCGAGATTTCTTGTGGCCCGCACCAAGGAGGTTTCTTCCACAGCTACACAAAGCTTCCAGCTCTATGCCAGCCATCCCACCAGGGTGCCAGAAATCCCACCCACAAATGTTGCCATTTTAGCACAAACTAAATTGGGAAGGAACAGCGAGACTTGCTTGACTGACTGCAATCAGCGTCTCTTTCCAGTTTAATTATCCATAATACTATGGAGCAGAGCAGCCTGAGGCTTCACATAACAGAAGTACCCAGAGATAAACAGTCTTTACTATTTTACTGGTCTAATACAAACACTTTTTGCCCACTTTTTTGTACCTCTTGGAAGGAGACCAAGCCAAGAGGAAGGCACTCCTGTTGCAATCAGTTGCATCAGTTACCAGTTGCTTCTAAGAAATTTCTTCTCTGTAGACATTCCCATGAGGTAAGAGATTAACAATTGCTTCAGTCTTATTTTCATAGTAGACACAGACAAGAGCTAAACATCAGTAGGTCTTTCCATAGCTCCTGTGTTTTTCTAGAGCCAGGTAAAGTCATTTATTGCCAAAATACCAAAGTATGCAAGTGTGCTTCAGAATATCCCCACACCTCAGGAACTGTCCTCTTACAGTGCACATTTAGTAATTAATGCTTATGTAAAAGTTAACTTTTTTTGCATTAGAAGTCTTCCAGAATGAAGGCGGAAAAAAAAAGCTTTGCTTTCGGCCAAAAGGCGTCACTTACCCATGATAAGGAAAGTGAGAACCCATTGCAGCACAGAGATGACCTGGAGTTGCTTCTCTACTTTGGATTTAGATAGCCAGAACAAATCCTGCAAAGCAGAAAGAATGCTCGATCCTGTGCCTAAGAAAAAAAAAATAGAAATAAAGTTACATTTGCACACTGAGCAAAGATAACAATATTTTCCTTCCAAATACAAGGTTTTAAATCAATGTTTGTGCAGTTTGCTTTTAGACCAAGGCTTGTCAAAGGCTAATATTGATGCTGGAGGGGATTAATGGGTAACATCAGTTCCCACCTGAGCAAGCCTCTATGCACTTGACCGTAAAACCGCAGAGGACATTAACACGTGGTCCTAGCACCCACCCCACCCCCAGCTTCAAACTGCGGGTTCCTGGAAGTGGTGGTTGATAAGAGGGAAACCCAAGAGTTCACCAGAAGATAAAGATTAGCTGCCCCAAACCACAGGCAAGAACATGCAAGGCTGTGGTCTGAGCTGTTGCTCATCCACCCTTCACCGGGTCTGTTGCCCAGCTCCCAGCTGCGTGTTCAAGGAAAGCTCTGCGCTCCAGCCTTACACAGCACAGCCTAAGGGCTGGTTGAGCAACACCTCAACCCACAACCCCAGGGATCCACAGCTCCAAGGGCAAGGAAAACTATCATGGTGTTTCTGAAGGAGTAAATGAGGAAGGAATTGAAAGCCACTCGTAGAAGCTTAAGCTATTCAAGTGAGAAGAGACTCAAGTAAAATCCTGACATGAAAGACTTGTTTTCTATATGAGGAACCACCCACTCCAGCATTTGCTGATATGCTTAACAACCTCGAGAAAGAAGCACTTGCAAGTGCATTTTCCTTCACTTCTCTTCATTACTTTATTTCACAAGCATCATAACAACTGGCTAAAATGCAAGCTGCTGGCCTGTGAACAAACCAGGAGGTGTGTTTACATATTTCCTTTTCTGTTTAAGGATCAGCCTGTTATTGGAAGGGATACGATGCTGCTAAGCAGCTATGATATTGCATGGGTTCAGTCTTTGCTGTTGCTGGCAAGACACAGCACTGCAAGTGGTGATACCATAGCAAGGGCTCATGCTTAGTCGAATGAAAGTCTGATGGAGAAGAGCCTTTTCTCTAGATATAGGCAGGTACTGGTGTTCTGGTAGTTTCTACAAAGCAGGTTTCACTAATGCATCCTTTAAACATGCAAAGCATATCTGCAGTCTTTGCTAACTGTTACCCTTGCTGATAGTCTAGGAAACAGGATTCATGCACAGTAGCTGCACCTGCAGAACTGTTTTAGCTTTGCAGCTTCTTTGCTGCCCCTCTTAAATGCCATTTAATGTTAAGCCTGTGCATGGTCCCTAGGACTGACAGCTACACGCCTTCCTGAGCATTTCTGTGAGTAAAGGACATCAGCCAGGAGCCACACCAGACCCTGCAGCCTAAATCTAGAGCCATCCCACCCAGCCTAGGCCCTTGGCTCTGCTTGGTCCATGTTGAACGAACAATCCTTGCAATGGGTTGGGCATTAACTACTCCAAGCAGACCAAGTTTTGGTCAAGGCTAGATCATGTCACTGCAACTGCCAGTAAACTGAAACCTACAGCACTAATCCAGTCTGAAGCAGCAGCTTAAGTAGAAGGTCTTTGCGAGAGAACTTGTAGTTGCTGAGTTCGCTTTTAATACTGCAAGTATCTCTCCAGTTTGAGATGAGACAGGGCAACACGCTGATGAGTTAAGCCACCACTGATTTGCAACACTAGAGTACCTAAGCAGGAAGACTTAGAAATTCTGTGCTGCAGCTCTTCGCATTTGACAGTAAATGCCCAAATTTGGGGTGAGTGATAAAAAAAAAAATATGGGGTAGAGTTTAAAGACTGAGTCACCTGTCCAAGGGTAAGAGAAATGTAATTCCT